AGCAGGGAGCCCGATCTGGGACTCGATCCCGGGACTCCAGGATCATGACCTGAGCCGAAGGCAGTCGCTTAACCAACTGAGCCACCCAGGCGCCCAGATTTTTTTTTTTTAAAGCATATTCTGGCCTGGAAATGGACTTTGTATATAATACCTTTTTTTCTTCCTTTTTAAAACCATATTCTGAATAATTTTTAAGTTAGGTACTACTTATTATATCCAAAGAAGAAAAAAAGGTCCCAAGGAGTGTTGCTATTCCAGAGGTCCATTAGTCTTTTCTGACTCTGGTTGACCTCCTCTTCCTTCTCCCTTTAGTTCTCAGAGGTGTAGACTAAGAGAAGTTGGATATTTTCATCCTGCTATAATATGTAGACCACTAATAGGCAGGAGTGAAAAAGAGGTGGAAATGGTTAAGCTGACCAGCTTTTTTGTTGTTGTTGGAGGTTGAGAGGGTAGATGATAGGCAGAAGTCCAAATCTTGAATCTGTGTAATTTTTTTTATATCTGTGGGCATATACTTATAAATGCCCTCCCCTTACCCCATCTCCACTAAAGAAAAATGTGTCTATTTTCCCTCTATACCTACCTCTCATACTGAACACACACATTTTGTGTCTTAATTTCACCTATATAAACACATTTTAGGAGATCTTAACTTGCCCAAACTGTTGCTCCAAGCAGTTACTTCACCATGGTATCCCACCTACAGACACCCATAGAAACAAAGAAAATGTTATTTCAAAGTTTGCTTCTGTGCTTTGGTTTAGGCAGAACATGATTGCCAATGTTCAGGTTTTAGTGATTTAGGATTGGGTTTTATCTTACTGTATGATCTTACCTTTTTTTTTTTTTAAGATTTTATTTATTTATTTGAGAAAGAGATAGAAAGAGCATGAGCAGGGGGAGAGGCAGAGGGAGAGGGGAGGCAGACTCCCTACTGAGTGCGGATCCTGTCTCATCTTGGGGCTTGATTCCAGGACCCCGAGATCATGACCTGAGCTGAAGTCAGACTCCCAACCAGCTGAGCCACCCATGCATCACTGTATGATCTCATAAAGTACAATGTTATCTCTCAACTCCTAGCAAATAGTAGGGGATTGATAAATACAGCATTACCACATCTGAGCCTTTTTATATCTTAAGACACTGTGACCTTCTTAAAGGTAGGTCCATTAATTATACAGTCACCCCTTGACTGAGCAAGAGGGGCCTCTGCCCTGGCCTCACTACTTAGAGAACCCTATTCTGGCACTTCTCTAGCTGTACTCCCTACAGTGTAGGGGACCCACAGGACAAAGAACATACCTCCCAGATTCCACTGGTTTGTGCTTAGGTACCTCACACTTCAGCATTTCCTTTCCACATCGTCCCAGTTGTATTTCCAATGTCTGCATGGGTCTTATCCTTGGGTCCATTCTTTCAAGGGAAAGTCATATCTCTGATATATGTACCTCTAAATCTAGGCTAGTGGGTAGTCAGATGGCAGCAGTTTGTGAAGGTGTCTGGCCATGGCCTATATAAATCAGCCAGGTGTCACACTCCTGCAGGTGAGGCCCCTTGAAGTGCAGGGTGGAGCTGGGGGTTGGAAGAACAGTGAGATTTGCTGAGGGTCAGGGACAGGCTCTCCTCATGTTACTACTTTCCAGTGTAGAATCCTGAGGAATTTTGAGAATTCTAAATTTGATTCTGTTTTCTTGCTCACTATGAAGGCACATTTGTCAAGGCGGGAAAATAGAACGTGTTTTATTTAACAATGTATTAGCTTAATGTAAAATTTAATAGTCATATGATATATATCCATTTGTGTTCTTAGTCCAGATCCCACAAATCTTAGGGGTAGGCTTGCTCTTAATGCCCCTAATGCTTCTCCCCAGTATTTACTATAGTGGTTGGCATATGATCATGTTAATAAATGAACGAAAATGGGAACTCAGAATGCCCCACTATGGCAGAAGATCAGAAGTATAGACAGTCGATATTTATTAGCCTTACAATTTTATAGTTTGGGGGAAATCTGTTGAGAACTGAACTTCAGAATGACGGGTGGAATTTTAAAGAAGCAAAAATTAAATCCAGGCTTCCTAATTTGTTTCTTATAGGACTTTACACGTTACTCATCTTATTCTCATACCCCATTTCATGATAGTTTGCAGGTGTTAACTCTTTCACTCTTCTTATAATGCTGAAATTTGCCTAAGATGCTAGATTTTTTGGTCCCCATTTGGCTGACTATATCTAAATGATACTCAGGTTATTCCCTTTTAACAAGAAGCAGCACTCCCACTTACTGTTATGCCAGGGATTTACATGAAGTGGTTAACACACAGTATCACATTTAGTCCCCACAGTAATTTTATGAGGTAGGGGGATTTACTCTAATATTATTATAGACATGTACAACATAATATCCAAAGTGCTTAAGTGATTTGTCTAAGGAAGACACAGCTAGGGAAGAGAAAAACATTTTATTGAAAAAAAGATTAGACTTTTATTTACTTTGAAAGCTAATTTCCAACAAGTGTTAATAGGAATCTGCTTTGGAATGAGACGTAAATAATACATCTTTACTATTTTTTCCTGCCTTTATCATGCATAGGAATTCAACCTTATTGATAGAAGAGAACTTGCACCACTCCAAGAACTGATTGAAAAACTC